CCATTGCCTGTAAACACCAACAGTCATAGATGTAGCATATCATTTATTAATCCACATTTATGCTATCAACAAGTATAAATTCCATTGATAAAAGGGGGTTGCAGACTGCCAGAAATAGTGCAAATTGAGTCCACTTTTAGGGTTAGGGTTAGTGCTAGGGAATCATGGGAATTGGTTTTTTTTTTCTGAGACATTGAGCCTTCTCTGTCAGAGAACTCTGCTGCCACAATAAACTACAGTTCCCATGATTCCCTAACCCTAACCCTAACCCTTAAAGTGGACTCAATTTGCACTATTTCTGGCAGTCTGCAACCCCTAAAAGTTTATCTTTCTAAGATACAATTGGCAGACATTAATCCTACTTATGAAGGCCTAGATATTAGAATATATGTAGACATTTGGTTCTGAAAAATATTCTTTATGAAGAGGGGGGACCTCTCTCACCATTCTATTTTGCTAAAGTGGTAGAACTTTGCTTGAAAAACAGCAATGAGTAGAGGTGGAGTAAAGATTCTAATGGAATCCAATGAATAATCAGGGACTGAGAAACAGCAGGATTTATGGGCACTAAACTAACACACTGGTGCTTTGGCTGCATGGATGGTAGTGGCTTGATTTAGGCTGGATCTGCACTGCAGAAATAATCTGGTTTGACAGCACTTTAGCTGCCATGGCTCGAGGCTATGGAATTTGTTGTTCCCACAATAAATACTGTTCCCAGAATTCCATAGCACTCAGCCAATGTAGTTAAAGTGGTGTTAAACCAGATTATTTCTACAGTGCAGATGCAGCATAAGTCAAACCATGTGGCCTTTTGTTGTTTGCTTTTGATTCTTGCATTAAGAGGACAAACAGAAGCTCTTTTCTGCTTCAAAGAGTCTTTTGGTGGCTAAGTACAACAGCACTTTAACCTGATGAGGAAGGCAGTAAGGGACAGTAGCCAATTGACATTGTGGCACTTTTACTACCACAGAGGGCCCCTGGTCTTTAACCACATCCTTCCTGCCAACCCCCCTGCTTTCCCAATATTCTGAAATGCTGCAAAGAGGTCCTATAAGATTAAAATGAATATTTAAATGTTGACATTGGCATTCTACTTGACTTGAAGAAGTCATACTACCTTTCACGTGCGTGTGTAAATCCTTCTCAGAAATGACTAATTGGAGCATTCCTGGATTGCACTTAAAACAAAATCACATTTAACACAATGTCTGCTGTTCCAAACTACTAGAAAACGGTATCCAATGGCTTTTGTATCTTCCTTAAGATACAAAAGTCACAAACATTATTATTATTATTATTATTATTATTATTATTATTTTGGCTTAATTCTCCTTTATTTCCACTCCTAAACTGCATCAAAGAACAACACTGTAAGGATCATGATTCTGCTTCTAGGTGAACTTTGTCTCTGAGCAGATAAATATTCCACAATAGTATTCTGTAAAAATGCCATCATTTTTTCCTGTATGCTTTAGCATAGACAACACTAAGATAACAATTAACTTTCCTCATAGCACATTACTAACTATTGTTAGCCTGCACACATATGCAGCAGAGAGACAATCTAGACTGGTGCAAACAGGTTAGAGCAGCATGCAAGGATTTTATTGTGTATTTAACCTCTGGCACTGTCATGTTTTCTGAAGTCTGTGCTAATAGGTACTTTCAGAATTTATATATGAAGGAGGTAGAGGCAACTTCATCTTTTTTTTCCTCTGTAATTTGCACATCCTCACCTCCACACTCGGATATACTGCGAGCTCCAGCTGTTTTCTGGTTTCCTGAATTTTGAGGATTTGGGCAAGGTTCACAAGTTATTTGACCTTCATTGTCTTGATAAGTTCCATTAGGACATAAAATGCAGCCTTCTTGTTCCCCATGATAATATGTTCCAACACTGCAGCTAGCTGACAACAGGAGACAAAACAGTCAGTCACACTGTATCAGTGGACATTTTTGATATGGTGGGTGAGTATTTTACAGTAGAAGCCTGCAATTTTTGTGAAGTTGCTTACTCATTATAGAGAAAGATATATTATCCCAATAAATTAAGAACCATTGTTATCCTCAAACATACTTCAACACAGGAATAATGTACAGGTTCACCACATGGGTGACACTTGTAATCTGCAAATGGCAAATTAACCCATTGTTCACTTAAACAAGGAACACAGATAAATGATTAATGTTATGATTAATGAATAGATGAATATGCATTTCCACAAATAGAAAGGAAATACTGAGAGGCATCAAATTGTGCCCCATTGTTTTCCTTTGGGAGCTCTTCTTTGTGTTATGTATCTGATAGCCACACAGTTTATCTCAGGGGTAGGCAACCTTTCCCCTTTAAGGGCCAAGGGACTTCAGCTCCCAGAATCCCAGGAGCTATTGGCCAACATAGCTGAGGCTTCTGGGAGCTGAAGTCCCTCGGCCCTTAAAGGGGAAAGGCTGCCTACCCCTGGTTTATCTAGTCAGATTATCTAGTGACCCTAAAGGAGGAAAGTCTTCTAGTTTCCCTGTGAAGAGTGATGTTGTCACAAAGAAAAATGCACTTTCAAGGAAAAGCATGAGGCTTTTCACCTTTTTTGTTTTTGTTTTGCTTTTTGTTTTTTTGTTTCTAGAATTGTTTCTAGAAGACTTTGGTCTTTAAAAAGGTGGGCTACAGGGGTCTGATAAGTGAATACTCTTGGTGTATATGTATAAATGGCTTTTAGGTCTCTTTAACATCTGCAACTATGCAAATATCATAGCTGAGACATAATGCATAGGTGTCAGAATCCAGACATTATGGATCTGACATGATAATAAATATGAGGGGA